GTCATCATTTGTAGCGGGTCTTCCTTGGCCTGTTAGGGACACTCCCAAGATACGAACTAGAGCATCCAATGGGACCCAACTGACTCGAGGAACCTCTGGGGTCTAATACCATTTGAATGGATCCACCATCCTTGCGTTTTACTTCCCCAATTAACCACCATATCTGATACCTACGAGAATTTATTTATTAAGGCTATGATTTCTTCCATGTTTGAATGTGATGCTTCCATCATAATAGTGAGGTCGTTTGCAAACATAGAATAAATAGGGATTGCCTCTTCAGGTATACCTGCAACTTGAAGACGTCTGAGATTATGATTCGTTCTCAAATTTGCCCCTAGTGCTTTCATGACAAAAAAAAAAAAAAACGGCGTTAAAGGGTCCCCCTGCCTTACTAACCTTTGCAACCTAATTTCAGGTGAGAGAAGGTCATTGACCAACATCCTCGTAGTTGCGTTTGAATATAAAATACGAACCCAATTACACATAATAGGTTAAAAGTTCATCTTTAGTAGACAGGCTTCCAAAAAACGTCAATCCACATGGTCATATGTTTTCTCAAAATCTATGAACACAAAGGATGCGTTTTGTTTTTCTTGACGCATTAACTTGATCATTTCATTAATTAGAAAGACATTATCATGAATATGTCGTCCAGTAATGAAACCGTTTTGAGCTGGATGAATGATATCTGTCATAATTGGAATCATGCGATTGGTCAGGGCTTTAGCTAGAATTTTGTAGACAACGGTGAGCAGGGTGATGGTTCTATAGTTCTTTATATTTGCCTTGTAACCCTTTTTGTAAAGTAGGGTGAGGATACATTGTCCCACCAGTTCTCCCATAGCTCTTGACTCGAGGACTGACTCAAAAAATTCCATCAAATCCGAGGAGAAAGTGAGTCACTTTGCTTCCCAAAACTCTTAAGGAAGTCCATCCACTTGTCCTCTCCCCCCCCCCTCCCCCCCAAAAAAAAGAAGTTCATCCCCTCCTGGCGTTTTATCCTCATCCATCTGTAGGAGGGCTGTAAAAATTTCCTCCTCGGCCATGGGTCTTTCTAAATGTTCTCTTTGTTCTTGTGTGAGTGTCTTTGTCAAAGGGGAGAGAAGTTGATCTACTGCCTTATCATCTTCTTGTTGAAGTGATGGGGTCCTCAAGGAGGTGAAAAAAAATAAAAATAAAAAATTATAAGCTATCTTGAAACTGCTTGCTGATGAAGTTGTTAATGGGTTATCTGCTGAATCCTCCGGATAAAAAAAAACTTCAATAGATGTACGTCTCGCTCTTGCTTTTGCTAATGCAAAAAATGAAACATCCATTTGACCCTCAGTCAATAATTTTTTGAATTTTCCTCTGACAATTTGCCCTTGCCATCGCTGTTGGGCAAAGGTTAAAAGTTGGTCCCGGAGGTCTTGGATGCGTTCTTGGTTAGGATGGTTACTAGATTGCTCGTGAAGTTCGTAATTTAGGATTTTTTCTTGGATGTTCATTTCCTGAAAATAGCGGGACTTTGCTTGTAGTTTGGAGAATTCATTACATTTTTTAAACAAAAAAAAACAAACCATTATTGAACCATGCGATGAAGGAATCATGTTTTTCCTTTGTCGAGTGTCAATATTCCCATACATCCTTGATATATTGCCTGAATTGATTCTGGCTTAACAAGGAAGTGTTAAGTTTGTAGAATCCCCTCCCCTGGTCAGGTTTTTTCCTAAACGAGCCTGGTCATGGGCTCTGGGGAAAGATAGTTGCCCATAGCATTCATAATAGATTTTTCGATTGAGGTTTCAACTGGTTCTTTGTGGGCAGATCGTTGGTCTGTTTTCAGGCATTGTTTCGGGTGTACGCAGCGTAACGCCGGTGCATTTTGGGAATGCCACAGTGTTGGAAAACCGGTCTAGTGTCCCATATCTTTGACTAGCTAAAACAAAAAGTCGGGGGTCTGCCTCTTCATCCATTTTGTCAGATGCCAGATTCTACACACAAAGCTAGCAGCCCCTACCTCCCTTTCTTAAACCGCCAGTACCTTTCTCAGTTATCAGTGCCGAGCCTAAAATGGATCTGCGCAAAAAAAAATAAAAACGAAGCGTCGTAGGCCTCTTTTTGGCTGGCGCTACCAGCTGTTTCCCACCGGTAGTGCCGAACCCATTTGTTTTTCAAGCGGGGAAAGGTACTATTGGTGGTTTAACCCTTGACCTGGCACAGATACCAGAAGGAGCCATTGGGGGGCACCAGGGGGTCCTGCCTGATTTTTGTTGAAGGAATTGAAATGTTATTCAAAGAAAGACGGCACTTGGCATTTTCAGAATCTCCCCACCAATAGACTGGAGCCCCCAGTGTGTCAGGTAGGAGTGTATGCTCTTATCATCACTCCAATCTGATACCACGGGTTTCTGTTTAAAAAAAAAAAAGAAAAAAAAAAAAAAGAAAAAAAAAAAGAATGTTCTTCTCACTCCCAATTCTAGGGGGATTAGCAAAGTTGAGATGAGTCTTTTGTTGATACAGCCATGGAGACAACGTATGTTGAAGTTCAAGTCAGTCGGCCTTTTGGTTAGGTGGTATCGGGCTGCTCAGTCTTATTCGGGAAGGACATGTGAACAACACTCAGTGGAGTTTTGGCCAGGGCTATCAAACGCAAGGTGAGGGTGGACGTGCGAAGGAGGGTTGTAGTCCGCATGGTTTATGATCATCAATTGAGTATATCGAGGGTGCATGCCCTGATTCTGAGAGGCTACTCTTCCACAGGGGGTCCAAGAGTTGAGCGCGAAGAAGGTTAGGTTTGTTTGGCGAAAGAATCCGCCGGTTTCGACTACTCTCTGGTCCTTTCATCGAGTGGCCAACGGAAGTGCACCCCACGGTCGGCAATAACATTATGCGACTGGCCGTGGGCCCGCCGTAGGAATCCTCCTTGGAAGACTGTCCCGAGAATGAGTGGAACAACAGCGGAAATTCTCTCGGGCGACCCAAAGGAAAACCCCTCAGGCCCCGAGGACGGCCCGAGGAGTGTCTAACGAGACCCAGAGTCGAATGCCACCCAACTACTGCCCCTACTCTCATTCACATTACTCCTCCAGAGGTATGCACCGATAGATGGAGCAGCTGGACGAGGACTTGCTAAGGAAGGCTGCTTATATCACCTTCTCAAAAGAAAAAAAGGAGGTATGCAGCAATATGCTTTTCGGATAATGGGGGACCCATATCGCAGATGTTGAACCAAAGAGCTTCTACATTGATCAGAACAACCCTACCAAATATTGAGGTTTTCTTATTTCAGAGGCCAAGTCCCACTAGCAGCATTGAGTTTCCTCAATGCCCGAATGTGGACTCGTTTGTGGAGAAGTGCAGAATCGCATTGAGTTTCCTCAACCGCACATCTCCACAAACGCATCCAGATTTGGGCATTGAGGAAACTCAACGCTGCTAGTGGGACTCAGCCCCAGGTACCACATTTTCTAATGCAGCATTGAGACACCAAAGGGGGAAAAAAAAAAGACACCACCATCAAGTCCACATAGTATAATCCACCCAACATTGCACCATCCAGTCCACACTGTACCACACAACCCACATAATATCACCCACTGGCAGGCCACATACGACCACCTGGCCACCCACTGGATTGGGAATATATCAGAAGAAACACTTGTGGAGAGTTCCCTGCCAGCATTGATTATCCTGGGGACCAGGGGATTGACTGAGCAGTTTGGGGGGCAGGGGGAACCTCTTCACCCTGAATCCGGCGCCAGATATCTGCTGCTACACCCTAGTTCCACCCTCCCCTACCAGTCCCAATCCCACATCATGACGATCTAGTGTTTAAAGTCCGAGTCTTGCAGATTGAAAAGATGAGTCCAGTAGATGAATCCTACTAGGGACCCCGTCCTTCATACCACTGCTCCCCTGCTATGGCTAAAGCTGGTGGTGGGAAAGGGTCTGGGATGTCTGAAGCAGGGCGCCATGGTATGTCCGGGCAGACATTTGTCCATTCCTGAAAAAGAAGATGATAATTCCTGTCGTTATGGCCCACAAGGAGGGGTCTGTGAATAGTAACACCCTACTGTTAGAGTCTGTTATCCACCGGTTGCCAAAGAGAGGTTGTCTATATACTTCCTCCCAACGTCGTGGTGGCGTTTTATCCGGGGGGGGGAAGTTTCCTCCATGTTTTTATGAGTGAGGTCCAGAAGGCATCATTTTGGAGATCTCTTCTGGCTGCTTGCCTGTTTGTACCGGGTTCATCCTCTCTCGATGGTGATGGCCTAGGAACAGGCCAGTACCGGTCTTCCAGCCAGGTCGGCGGATCTATGTCTAGGGGGGCCAGCGGGGCCAGCCTGCTTATTTGTTGCAGTGCCAATGCTTTCCATGGGGTCTGTGGAGCAGACACCACTAGCACCTGGGGAGAGGCTCCATCTATTGGTGGGGAGCATCACCTGCTGGAAAACGGGTCCAGCGTCCCTTATACAGACTGAATTTGGAGTATATGAGGAAAAGAAAGCAAGTGGGAGACTCCTGCCAGCAATGATTACCCTGGAATCCAGAGGATTGACTGAACGGGAAATTAGCACCCAGTCTTTTTTTTTTTTTTTAACAAAGTCCAGGGTGTTGTAGAGGCCAGTCAGTGAGCGCAGTGATCAACTGGGGCTGTGAGCCGCAGGTGTCCTGGAAAATGAGACCACATCCCATCCCATCCTCACGTCAATACTCCTAGCGCACCCCCTATCCCACTATCCTACCTCATTGTGACCAGCACTCAGGACCTTGGTTTTCTTTTCCCCTTTTTTGTGGCTTTGCCACATATCTTTTTTTTTTTTTTTTTTTGCTCCAGTCTATTAGTGGGGAGCAGCACCTGCTGGGAACCAGGCCTCGCGTATCAGTCCAGATATACGTGGAATGTTGAGTCTGGTCGTTGGAAGGAGCTGCAGCTTTTTTTTGGGTAAGGCATGTTTTTTTTGCTTGGGTGCATAGGTGGCAGAGGAGGAGATGGACATAGCAGGTATAGTGAGGGGGAGGAGGAGGAGGAGGGGGAGGGGGAGGAGGAAGAACAGGAGGAGGAGGGGTAGGAGAAGGGGGAGGAGGAGGAGGAGGGGGAGGGGGAGGAGGAAGAACAGGAGGAGGAGGGGTAGGAGAAGGGGGAGGAGGAGGAGGAGACGAAGGTGGCGGAGGAAAATGCACCAGAAGAGGATGTGGCCAAGGAGGGGGGAATGGGGGAGTGGGCCAGAGAGCTGGTGGCAGAGGAAGAGGAGGAGGAGGAGGCGGCGGTGAAGGAAGACATGGAAGAGGAGGAGGTCTGGGAAACCACTTGCGATTACAAACAGATATGGGGCCAGGGGATCCCCTTGTGTTACTGACCTCTTTGCAGGATAATTTCCAGGGCCAGGACCTCTTTAATGTGAGCCTTAGTTGACTCGCTATGATGAGGATGGAAACCCATTTCCTGAAGTTACTTTCTACATTGACCTTTTCCAGGAAGTAATCCACAAATTCCCAATCCACATGATCATAGCCTGTGTTAAAAAAAAAAAAAAAAAAGGGTTTCTCAACATCAATAAATAGAAGCGTAAATAACAGAGGGGCCATCAACCTTCGATCTTCGTCCAGTTAGCCCACGTTCTTTTTCGGTGCTAGTTTGAACGCTTCCGTAGCACTAACTAGGAAAACAGTTGCTTTGCCTTTTCCTGGAAAAAAAAAGGTGGGTGTTCATTTGACATCTGTAATGGAATGGAATTGGATTTCAAGGTATAATTTGATGTCGGTGACAACAAATTCCTGACATGGTCTTCTTTTTTCCTGAGTTTATTTTTGATGTTGACAGGGTCTCCCAGGACCAGGAAATGTGGGAGCAGGAACAGGAGCTGCCACCGGAGTCCCATGGTCTCATCGTGAGGAAATGGTAGGCTTCTGCCAGTATCTAAAATGTTATTTCTTCATCATGTTTTTCATTAGGGATACTGGGCTCGCTTCCCAGCACATGCTGCTCCTCACGAATAAACTGGAGCAATGTGAAAAAAAAAAAAAAAGGTTCAAACTAATCCTCCCCATATCACTTTTCACAACCCTCTACCACAGCGTTTCCCCCACCCCCCCCCATAACCTTAATTACTCCACAACAACACTCCAAAGCTTGCAGAGAATTGCCTTCTTTGCTGTCATTCTCCACAAAACACAGCCCCTCCCCTCCCCCATCCCCCCCTTACCCCCACCTCTACCCACCCTCCTTCAGAGTGCACCTTCCTTCCAGAACATTCTGACAGCCGCACTCTCACGACGTTGAACCTTTCTCCACCTGGTCACACATAAACAACTCCTGCAATAACCACTCGCATGCTCCCCTCCTCCACTGAATTCTTCCCACACAAGAAACGCCTTCAGTTAGGTTGAGAATATACATCCTTCCTCGCTCTAACCTAGACCATATAATCAACCAACTTCTTTGGGAAGATTTCTGTGAATGACCACCGTGCGTAGTCATTGTCAGTATTCACATTCTTTTTTTTTTTTTTTCCTAGCCAAACAAAGGCTCCATCTATTGGTGGGGAGCTGCACCTGCTGGAAATCGGGTCCAGCGTCCCTGCACAGAATTATCAAGGTTGTCAAAGTTATCAAGTTATGGGTTAGATTGTTTGTTTGTTTGTTGGTTTGTTGGATGTGTGCGAGGAGTATGAGTATGAAGACCACTGATCTATTCTATTCTATTCCATTCTATCTTATTCCATCGTGTGTTTCCCCTGTGTTTCTCACCTCTGTTTCCTTCTGTTTCTCTCTGTTTTTCTCTCTGTTTCTCTCTGTTTCTCTCTGTTTCTGTGTTTTCTCGCTATGTTTCTCACGTGTTTGTCCTTCACTGTTTGTTTTTGTCTGTCTCGTTCTACCATCACATTCCTGAGCATCTATAATGCCAACATAGATCAAGAGCTAGGGCAAGAACCATCCACATGAAATATGAAAGCTATATGCCTTCTTCTCAAGGGGTGAGGGTGGTCTGCTACTTGCATGGAGAACACCGTAAGATTAGAATACTCCAGACTCGGGCTGCGCTAGCGCTAGCGCCCCGACGCCGGCGGACCGCTAGGCCCGGTTCCCCCGGCTCGACTAGCGCCTGGGGAGGTAAGCTCCCAGGCTGCTAGGCCTGTGCGCGCGCCCGGCAGTAGCGCGTGGCTCTTCGATTGCCACGTGGCATCTGCTGTAGGGACGTGAATGTACGCGGCGTGCGGGCAGGGGTAGTGCCAGCAGTGAAGACCGACGACGAATTGCAATACGCGGCGCAGCAATTTGGGTGAGGGATGGAGATGGTAGGGGAGCTACAACATGGAGCATTTCGACTACAGGATACGCTCGACGACAATGAAGATGACGTCTCGCCCACAGAAGATGCTGAAGGTGAGCAAGATGATGATTGCGATGTCCTCCACTATTATACAAATATCTGTGCTATGTGTGAGATCTGGGAATCTGAAAGAGAGATGACCTGTGCTGTTGCTGTGCGTGAGTGTGATGAGTATGAGGGGGGCGGAGAAGAAAGGTGGGCTAACTTGATGGCACTGTCCTACCACGTTGAGGAGGAGAGTGCAGTGGGCGATGGAGAGAGGGAATATGCCGCTGATGACGCAGGTGAATGGGAGGTTAGGGATGAGAGTGCAGTTGGCGATGGAGAGGGGGAATATGCCACTGATGACGCAGGTGAGTGGGAAGGGGAGTGGGGGCTATTGTCAACGGTGGAAATGGCGGAAGCGGCAGCGGCGACAGCAACAGTAACAGCAATAACATCTACAACAACAATATTGGAGGTGGAGCAGGGTTCGGCAGAGGAGAGGCAAGGAATGGGCGGGATTGGCGACAAGGGTGGGATGGTCGACAACAACAATGACAACAACAATAATAGCAACTTTAACAATGGAGGCGAGCGGCGAATGGCCGAACTGGGTGAGATAGGAGTGAAAGAGGATAACAAAAACAACAACAACAAGAACAACAACAACAACGACAACGGCAACACCAACGTGATGGAGGAGAGGGGAGAGAACACTAATGACATGGAGGAGAGGGGAGAGAACGCTGACAACAACGACAACAACAACAACAAAGTTGGCAAAAACAACGAGATGGTTGAGATGGGAGAGGATGTTGACAACAACAACAACAACAACAACAACAACAACAACAACAACGGTAACAATGACGGTGAGCAGGGACTGGGGGAAAAGGGTGAGGTGGGTGAGATGGATGCCACAGACAACAACAACTACGGCAACATGGGAGAGATGGATGCCACGGACAACAACAACGATGGCAAAACATGGGAAAGATGCCGCCATCAGTGCAGTGGGGGGGATTTTGTAGCTTGTTGCGGCTGGCGAAGTGGTTGAAGGTATGATTTAATGTTTCCCCCCACCCCTGCCCGGTGTTTCCTCATGATGAATCATCTCCTCTTTTTTGGCATCGGGTAGGGATAGGATAGATGATCTCCCTGTGATGATTAGGGTTGATTGCTTCTTACCTTTCTGACCCTCAACTCTTAATCATGAAATGATTGCTGATAATTACGCTTGTTATTGTTGGTGAACATATGCGCAAAATGACATCTATACACAGCTATACATATCATGGTATTGGAGATATAAGCTTTATGAGCAGGAGGTCAATCCTTCCCCTGCGTTGGGAAGTAATCAATACCTCTGCTCCTTCTGGTGACACCGGTGAGCCAAGTACATATACAGTCAGTTCGCATACATCGTAGTATGGAGATGCTGGACTTGGTTTCCAGCTCACATAGAATTCATCAATACAATTGGGCTTGATGCCTCACTTACTATAGTGCTGTGCTAGGTTAGAGGATACGGTTTTCCCTTCCGGGGACATGTATTAATCGATGAATGAAGACAGGACGTTTGGATGTTGACTCATATGGACTGTTGTACACATACAGACCGTTTCTGACTGTAGGACTAAGTACACAGCACTGTATAGGGGCGCTGGACCCGTGTTCCAGCTGTCACACATCACCTCAGTGTTATACGTATCACATCATGGGTAGGGTTCCGTCTGATAGATAAGATTGGGTTCGAATCCTCAGTTTTATTTTGGAGATACTGTGGATCAGATGGATAGGGTCTCCCATCATCCCCCATCATCTGACATATAATGCTTAACGTGCACACATAGGTAGTCGGAGATATCATCACATCTCTGCATTGGGACGCTGGACCCGATTCCCAGCAGTTACATTCACATCACTGCACAGGGATGCTGGACCCATTTTCCAGCAGATACATTCACATCATTGTACAGGGACGCTGGACCCGATTTCCAGCAGGTGTAGGTCCCCACCAATAGATGGAGCCTTCGACGCCGGGTCCTACTTACCGGGGATGCTCTTATCACCTCGTTAAGTAGGTTCCCCATATACGAAGTTCAAATCAAAAAAAAAAAAAAATATATATATATATATATGTATATATATGCCTTCTTGACAAGACTGTACTTCCTTTTTTTTTTTTAACCACTGCCTTCTTGCTGGGGGGCATCCCCTCCTAGCAGTCTGGTCAGGTGCTCTAATCTTTTGGTGGGGAGAAGCGTCTGCTGGGAACCGGGTCCAGTGTCCCAAGATACATCGATTGAGGTAAACAAGTACGGGGGGCATTACCCGGCTTCAGTTATAGCATGAGTAACTTTGAGCTTCTGCTGGAAAACGAGTCCAGCATCCCCCAGGGAGGAGGGGGGGAAGGCAGTATCGGCTGGTGACCGCAGGCTCCTGGGGGGCTGTGGAGCTTGGGTACCATCCTCGCCCCTGGCCTCGTCCCCTAGTCATCTTTGTCGGTTGGTGTCTTGCAGACATTCCGCTAGCAAAAGCGGGTGTGAGGGGAAGGGGTCCGGGAAGTCTGATGGAGGTCTCAGTGGCACGCCTGGGTCTTCCCCCCCCCCGCCAAAAAAAAAGGGCCCAGTGCCCAAGGCTGATATTACCAATAAGAGGAATGAGGCCGGGGTCCTCACGGTCTGCCCCGGAGAAACCGAACCGAACTTGCTGAGAACCAGGCTCATTGTCCCTCATGTGGTGACTATGATGAAGATGATGATGATGATCCTGATGATGATGATGATACTACTGATGATGATGCTGATGGGGATAAAAAAATGTATTGTAGTAAGCTATGCTATAGCAACAATTCTGGTCTCCTAATCCTAGAGCAACTTCTAGCCCTCCCTGTACCAGGACATTGTAAAAGAGAGACAATACCAACCTAACCAATGTCACCCATAGCTGATCTCTCCTCGCCACCGAGCAGCCCCCCCCGGTTCGCCAGTGGATTGCCTTCCTCCCTTGGCAACCCCCAGATCTCTCTACAAGGCCTCACGCTCCTGCCTTTGCAGGTTATAGGGCAACGCCCCAGCTCCAGCCAGCGTCGTTCTGGAGTCGACAAAACAGGGCACAGAAAAGAACAACTCTGCAGATATCGGTCCGGGTTCGACCGTCCCTGAAATCCTATATCCCGGATGTGGAAGAAAACTCGATGCTGCCCAAAGATTCCAGAACACCAGAAAGCTTAATATAACATTGATGAGATAATGATACTAATGATGATGATGATATTGATGAAGATGATTATGCTTTTCTTGAGAATTCTAAAGAAATTGACTGCGCCACGTTTGTTAGATCTAAAAGATTGTGAATACTATGCTATATCAGCTATTCCGGCTTCCTAATCCGAGAGCAACTCCTAGCCCTCCCTATACTGGGACACTACTACTCAAAGACAGTACCAACCAAAACAACATCAACCATAGCTGACCTCTTCTCGCCCCCGAGACTATCCCCGGCCCCAGAGGGTGTCAACACGCCCCCCCCAATTCGCCACTGGATTGCCTTCCTCCCTCGGCAAACCCCAGATCTCTCTACAAGGCCTCACGCTCCTGGTGTGGCAGGTTATAGGGTAACACCCCAGCTCCGGCCAGCGTTGTTCTGGCATCGGCAAGTTGAGAGCATAGAACAGAGCAACCCTATTGATGTCAGTCCAGGTGCAACCATCTCTGAGGTCGAAGATCCTAATAAAAAGAAGACCCGATGTTGCTCTAGCTCTCAGAACCCCAGAAAGCTGAAAATAACATGATTGGTCCAAGAAGCTTCCAATAGTCACCGCGCAGAGAAAAATTCCCCCTACACCACCACCGCTGTCCCTTGCTGCCACCGCCGAGGAGATTCACCTTGGCCCCAACCTGGAACAGATTCCCTCCCTCCCCCCTCCGCCAAGGCAGCCAATTCCCGCCTAGAGGGTGCCTTCGCCCTCCCCTTTGTGACCTTGGTCCCTATCTGCCCCTGCCGGGGTTGAAGGCGACCAACTCCCCCACCCCGGCCCCAAACAAGGACAAACCACAAATCTGCCCCACCCCCGACAGAGCAGCCACCTCCCACCTTGCAGCGCCCCTGTAGAGTAAGGCTCCCCAATGCCCCCCCACCCATTCCCGAGAAATCCACACCGTGACTGCAGAAACCCTAGCCTGACTAAAGCATACTGATCAGATGAAGCAGTCAATTATCCTCGATGAGGATCTCATGATAGACGAGAATGATCGTGAACGAGAGTGGCAGAAAAGACGTTCTGATTACTACCAGAACAGTTTGCAGTAATGACCCCCTAATAAAGGATTTGCTTGAAGATGATATTTCTAACGATGCTATAATTGATGAAGATAGTGATACGATGATCATTCTACAGATGATGGTAATAACGATGAAGGTATTAATGAGTTTTGGAGGAGTGGGTGACCAAAAGCGGTACCCTAAGACTAGAATTTTTTTAGGATGGTATTAATACTGATGATGATAGTGATGACGAGGATAATACTTCAAATAATAGTGGTAACGATGATGGTATTGATAACGTTTGAATGGATGGGTAACTAGGAACAATACCCTTAGGATGGTATTGGCGAACAAACTCACCTACAGATGGTATCGGGGATGACCCACTACAGAATTACAGGTAATGGAAAATTTTTATAAAGATGATGGCGATGAGGATGTCATGACGATGATGCTACAGATGGTGGGAATGACGAACAACAAGGTGATGATAACAATGGCAATGACAAAACTCACACGAAGGTGTAAAGATGAATAGGATGCTGGCAAAACTTGATGATGATGATGACAATCTTCAGCTTGATGCCGGACATCGCCCCGTATAAGCTCGTCCTGATGGTGCGAACAGCGCCTTGATTGTGCTTGATGACGCATCCAAGCTGGCCCCCTGCAGACAAACAACACCCTAATTAACGGGTAATGCCTCTGGTAAGAAGCAGTACCCCGTTGATGACGACGGACCAAGATGATGTCGGATCGCGACCTAATGATGATGGCGATGGCGAGCAGCACTCCAACGGCCGATCGTGACTGTAAACACTCACACTTCAGAGAGCCCCGGGCTGACTCCACTGGACTCCACAGGCATCGTCACAGCCGACGCCTCTCAGGCCAAATGCCACGTGCAACAACGCAGCGGCTATGGAGTGAAACGTACAACTCCCTGAAACAAAACGTCACTGGGAGTCAGACCATCTGCCACATCAGCCTAGTATGACATGGCGCGGCCAAGCGCCTGCGGTTCCCTGCGCGTGCGCGAAGCGCCAGATCTTCAAAAATACGAACCACCATCGCCGCCGCGCGCCATCACCATGAGTACGATATCATAGCGTCGGGAGGGGCGCAGCGCTCCCGGTAGCGCNGATATTTTGGTCTTTTCAAAAACACACGAGTACCACGTGGAACACATTGAGTGGGTTTTGCATGCACTGAAAGATGCAGGGTTCAAAGTGGCCTTTGAGAAAAGCGAGTTCTTCTTGTCGGAGATCTCATTCTTGGGGTATATCGTCACGGTCGACGGACTAAAACCGGATCCGAGGAAGGTGGCAGCAGTTCAAGACGCCCCGGCGCCGGTCACACTCACCCAGGTTCGGGCTTTTCTAGGGCTGGCATCCTATTACCGACGCTTCATCAAGAGGTTCGCCGGCGTAGGGAAGCCCCTCACGAACCTGCTGAAGAAAGAGGAACAGCTGATCTGGACGCCAGAATGCGAAGCGGCGTTTCAGGCGTTGAAGGAGGCTATGACATCTGCTCCTGTGTTGGCGCGCCCGACCCGACAAGACCGTTCGCACTGTCCACAGACTGGCAGCCTCAGGCGATATCGGCGGTGCTGACTCAGCACGACAAGGACGGAAGGGAGCACGTCATTGAGTATGCGTCTAAGATGTTGAGCCAGGCGCAGGCTAATTACGAAGCGTGCAAAGGTGAATGTCTGGCGGTGGTGTGGGGGATTCAGCATTTCCGACCGTATCTGTACGGCCAGAAA